AGGAAGACCCCACTCTATGCCACTGAGTGAAAAAGACAATGTCTTAGCATTATTTTGAAAATAATTTTGACCTCATGATCCCCTCCACCCCCCACAAAGTGCCTTGAGAATTCCCAGGGCTCACCAAACCAAATTTGAAGAATCATTGGTCTACTAAAAAACACTTTTCCTTTCAGAGGTTCAAACTATAGTTTTTCTATAGCCACACCCTTGATTTCCCAACAAATAAGATAAATGTAAACATACTATCTCTTTATCTTTGTATCGCTGCAATCTTTTTTTTTTAATCCTCACCTGAGGATATTTTCTCATTAATTTTCAGAAAGAGTGGGAGGGAGGGAGGGAGGAAGGGAGAGAGAGAGAAACACCTATGTGAGAGAGACACATTGGTTGCCTCCCAAACGACTCCAACCAGGGCCAGAGATTGAACCGCAACTGAGGTACGTGCCCTTGACCGGAATCGAACCCTAAACTCTTCGGTCTGCAGGCCGTCACTCTAACCACTGAGCCAAACCCACCAGGGCTGTATCTCTGCAGTCTTTAGGAGCTCCATCTGTCTAAAATAAGTATATGGAACTTGATAATTTAACACAAAATACTTTACTAGAAATATTTTAGATAAGATATAGTGGTTACCTACAGCACTAACTTATTTGGCATTCTGTTAGTTTCAATTGCAAAACAGTACATCTAAATGTCAACAAAGTAAACACCTAGAGATGGAGAGATAAAAATGAGAGTTCGTGACTCACCAAGCAGGATGGCCATGATGGAACCCCAAGGGTTTGGTTGAAACTCTGAAGGGTTATACCTTAAAAATAAGAATAAACCAGGGACTTCAACTTAACTTGGAATCACCTGAATTAAGATGACATGGAATGCTCATTCCCCTAGCCTAGATGCCTGTCATAATGGAAGTAAATCGTCTCTAGGAGAAAGTATTCAGAGACTCAGTATTCATAGACTCAATGTATTTCAACAGCATTTCATAGCAACATCAATCACTCAATAAATATTCAAGATCAGAAAGCACAATGTGACCAAAAACGAGAAATAATATAAAACAAACAAATGCATAGGCTATCCGTGTACTAGTTATCTGACACAGGCTTTAAAGTAACTAAAATCAATATGTTTAAGGAATTAAATTAAAAGACTTCAATAAAGAATTAGAAACTATAAAAAAGAACCAAGTGGAAATTCCAGCAGAAAAATAAAATAGGTGACATTAAATACTTACCAGATTAACTAAACAGTAAAATAGACATAGCTGAAGAGAAAAATTATCTCTAAAATTTTTATTGAGGATTATATTACATTAAATATAAATCAATGTGTGAAGCATTGACATTTAACAATATTGAGCCTTCCAATCCAAGAACATGACATGTCTGTCCATTTATTTAGGTTTTCTTTCTTTCTTTTTTTTTTTTTTTTTTTTTTTGATATGTGAACCTAGTGGGAACCGAACCCAGGACTCTCTGGTCCTCAGGCTGATGCTCCAACCGCTGAGCCAAACCAGCCAGGGCGTAGGTTTTCTTTCTCAGTAATATTTTGTAGAATTCAATGTACAAGTCTTGCATAACTTTTGTCAAATTTACACCAAAGTATCTCATATTTTTGATGCAACTATAAATAGTATTAATTTCAATTTTTTTGCTTATAGAAATGCAATTTATTTTTGTATATTGACCTTGTATACAGTAACCTTGTTAAATTCACTTATTAGTTTTAGATTTTTTATATATGCTGTAGGGTTTTCTATAGTTGAATATGCCATGTGTGAAGAGAATTTTTTACTTCTTCATCTGGAAGTCTTTTCTTTCTTTTTCTTGCTTAATTGTCTTGGCCAGAAACTCCAGTACATTTAATAGAAGTTAGTGGAAATCCTTACTTTGTGTCTGATCTTAGGGGAAAATAATTCAGTTTTTCACCTATGATGTTGGCTGCAGGTTTTTCATAAGAAGCCCTTTATCAGGTGGAGAGAGTTGTTTTTTATTCTTTGCTGAGAATTTTTATCAGAAATGAATGCTAGATTTTGTCAAATGCTTTTTTTGTATTTACTGAGATGGTCATCAGTTTTCATGCTAGTCAATATAGTGGGTAACATTAATTTTCTAATGTTAGCCCAAATTTGCATTCTTGAAATAAACCTCACTAGGGTCAAATGTATTATCCTTTTTACAGATGGATAAATTCAAACTGTTAAAATTTTGTTTATAACTTTTACATGTGTATGATTAATACTGGTGTGTAGTTTTGATTTTGGTGTCAGGGTAATTCTGGCCTCAAAGAATGAGTTAGGAATTATCCCCTTTTATTTTCTAGAAGCATTTGTTGAGAATTAAAATATTCTGTGCTTTAAACATTTGAAAGAGTTCACCAGAATAGCCTTTTAGGTTTGCATTTTGTTGCATATCTGTAGCAGTGTTACTTCTCTCATTGCTAATATTGCTAACATTTTTTTTTCTCATCAGTCTGGCTAAAGGTTTATTGATTTCATTGATCTAAAAGAACTAGCTTCTAATTTCACTTATTTTCTCAATTTGTTTCAATTGCATTAATTTCTTCTTTAATCTTTATCCATTCATTTGCTTATTTTGTGTTTCATTTGCTATTTTCCAAGAGTAAGTTGGAAGCTGAGGTCATTGATTTGAGTCCTTCCTTTTCTAATATAAACATTTAATGATACAAATTTCCCTGTAAATACTTGCTTTAGCTGATTCCCACAAATTTTTATTTCATTTGCATTTAGTTCAATATATCTTCAAATTTATTTATTTTTACATTACAACTGTCTTTATATTTAATTTCTCAGATTCAGCATATAGTTGGATTAAAAGACGCAGTCTTATAAGAGCACCTGACAATTTATACTTTAATTATTGATAATGCTGTTGAAGTCTACCATCTTACTGTTTATTTTCTATTTGTCCTATTTCTGTTCCCCTTTCTTCTTTTCCTTCCTTCTTCTGGATTATTTTTATGGCTATATTTTACCATCTTTGTTGGTTTATTAGTTTTAACCGTTTTTCTCTGCGTAATTGCTTGAGGGTTCACATTATATATTATTATCACAGATTACTTTCAGATAATATTGTCATCACACATTTTGCTTTACATATGTGTCAACACAAAAGCTTATCACTTTTGCTTTAAATAGTCAACTACCCTTTAGAGATCATTTAAAATAAGAAAAAAAAGTCTCACATTTTTTCACATATGTACCATTTTTGGTGCTCTTCATTCATTTGAATAAAAGCAAATTTCTATCTGGTACCATTTTCCTTCTGACTAAAGGCATTCTTTAACATTTCCTGCAGACCAATGTACTTGTGAGAAATTCTTTCAGTATTTATAGGTCTGAAAAAGTTTTAATTTCATTTTAACTTTTAAAGAGTATTTTGTTCTGGGTATAGAATTCTAAGTTGGTTATTTTCTTTTGGTACTTCAGTTGCTCCACTGCCTCTGACGTTATCTTTTGACTTTAGCTGCTTAAGAATTTTCCTTTGTCATTGGTTTGAAGACATTTGATTATGATGTGCTGTGGTGTAATTTTTTTATTTTTGTGCATGGGGTTCATTAAGTTTCTTGGGTCTCACTTGCTTTCTCTCTCAGGGATCATGGTCCTATGCCACATGATGTCCATTGTTTGAAAACTGTTTCATATATTTGTCTCTTTTAAAAATTTCAGACAGATAAACCCAATCCCTATTATTCCGTCCTGGCAAAAGGCAAAAATTTAACTTCAGGTTTCCCATTTGTACCACATATAAAAATTTTATTGTTTGTACTTATTTAGCATTTAAATTCTATGACAAAAACATTTCATCTATACACAGTTACTAAAATTGTTTTATTTATCCCTCCTCTTTTAATATACATCAAGTGCATGTACAGAAAAAGGCAACAGGAAAATATTAATGAATTTAAATAAAGCATGTAGGCAAAACACACTTATGTTTTCTAAACCTGCTTGATAACGATATATAAGGAAACTTGTTACAAGTCATAATACTTTCATAATCTGCCAGGAAAAAGATCACAGTAGCACTCCTCTATGCTTCAATACAAATGTATTCTCTGAGACACACTAGGAAAAAGTAATACTCCTGTTTTTATTCCTTGAAGTAGTTATTAGTATGTTTATACTTATTAACAATACCCTTAAAATTTTCCATTGCTTTGGAAAAGCACAAAGTTAGTAAGCTAGCTCAATTTCTTTATTTCAGTATTTTCATTCCAGAAGTCAAAATTGGGCAGGAGTACTATATATAAGGTACATAGTTTAAATCTTTGGGACAAGAGACTACAAGGTAAACAAGCCAACAACCTGCCTAATCTTACATGACTAAAACTCCAGATCACAGCAGGTAGATGTACACATGAATCTATTGTCAAAGAGTTATAAATTCTTTTGACAATTACCCTTTCTAAATTTTATGGTAAGGTCAATAATATAAAAATAGTAAACACAGCACACAAAGAATTAGAGAAAGATAATGATATAAACCACAAAAAGAAATCCACACTTAACATTTGGGAGAAAAGAAATGGCAATAATACAGTAATATTTAGTATCCAATATAAAATTTTCACTGATTTTAAATTGAATCTTGTTGGTTAAAACTTTATATTATAATTTTGCTAGTTATTAATTCATGAGATAATCAGCAGATATGCAGCTCTGGTCAAATCTTTCAAATCCTTACAAGTTTTCATAGGTAAAGTGAAGTTAGCTAAAAAATAAAAATACCAACCCGGAGTAGAGATTTGTCAGAAGTACAATCCAGTAACATAAATGCAATAGATATAAGGTAATCTGTGCAATTCAAAATTCCAAAAATTGTCTTATCAAATTTACAAGTAATAAATAGTAGTCATACTTGACTTCATCAAGTTAACAAAATAATTACTAACCAACCTTGTGTTTTATTAGTCAATTGCTTAGAAATACCAAATGCCATTTTAAAATTATTTTCTCCATAAAAATATAATGCATATCAAACTCTTTAATCTTCAAATATCCAAAAAAATTTGGAAGGCAACTGTCAATGAAAAATATGTTTAAAAGGTGATTTAAAAACATCCATATTTTTTGCACAATTTTCTTATGAAAAAGGGCACTTAGTGTCTAGCTAAAGCCTTCAGAAAAATAAAGATCCTATTGACTTTCCTATTAGGTAGATGATATATTGTACAGCTTTCAGTATAAAAATATAAATATTTTTGACAGCCAGAGAAAATGAAATAGTGGTTGGTATAAAATCCCATCACCCTTTTACTTGAAAAATTTTCCCAGAGACCATGAAAACAACACTGATTCCATGTAGCTCTGTGTTGCCAATAACTTCCCAAATTACAAAACATTAAGGTATTGACTGTAATTTCAAAAGTGGGCCCGTAGTCTTTTGTTTTCTTCTCGTAGTCTTTCAATTTCAGCCACTAAACCTTCATTCACAGAGTATCTTTCCAACAAAGAGTGCATTTCATTCTAGAAAAAGACAAAAATGCTTTTTAAAGTATTGGTATTTCACATTTATTTGGCAAGTTTTACATAATGTCAGCTATCATCTCTCTCATGTTCAATTAACTAGCCAAATGATATTCCTCGGACTTAACCACTCTTACCACTTTGTTAATATAAATGAAAGACCACTAGTAAAATTTACATATTTGGAAGGCCTATATTTGCACATTGGGAAGCTTTCTGCTTACTTATTGAAGAGGAAAAAAAAGTTGTAAAAAAGTTGCCTTAATTATCAAAAGTTAGAAAAAAGTTAAAAATTATTTCACTTAATTAAATTTCTAAAACTCCCTGTTTATTTATCCAAGCAACTATATATATAGTAAACTAAGTAAAAATGGTATCACCTTTGAATGGATTTTGCAGGTTCACAACTCTACACTCATTTAAAATAAAATGTGTCATACATACCAACTGCATATGAAACTGTTTAATCATCTCCACTTGCAAATTCACAATATCCCTATGACATGCTTCTCTAGGGAAGAATATAAAATACTTGTTAGAATTGTAACAGTTTTACTAATTCTACATCATTCAAGAAACTGGTTAAGCTTATTCATTTTTCAAATTATTAGATGTTAACAATTATTGTTACAATAATAAATATACCAATGCACCTAGCATTTATTTACTATGTGTCAGGCATTGTTTCTCATACTTATTATTATTATTTTTTAATATATTTTTATTGATTTGTTTGTTTGTTTGTTTAGAGAGAGAGGAAGGGAGAAGGAGAGAGAGAGAAACATCTATGAGAGAGCACATCGACTGGCCGCCTCCTGTGTGCCCCCCACTGGGGATTGAGCCCACAACCTGGGCATGTGCCCTTACCGGGAATCGAACTGGCAAACTCTTGGTGCATAGGTCAATGCTCAACCACTGAGCCACATCAGCCGGGCTGTTTCTTGTACTTTAAATGTAAGAACTAAAATCTTCACAACCAGGTACAATTGTTACCTCCATTTTACTAATAAAGTAACTGAGCTACAGAGCAGTTATAACTTATCCAAGTCACACGACCAGTAAACAGTGGAGCTAGGATATAAACCCAGGATATTATCTCCACTATACTGTACTACATTCCTTAAAATAGAAATTATCATTAAGAAGACACAGGTTTACATTATAATGAAATACAGATCCTTTACTAGGTTGTAATATTTTAACTATTATTGATATTTTAGCTATTAAAAATTACTTCTAGTAAAATGGAAAGAGGTTGTTACATAGCTCACTCAATAAAATGCAATTCATTCATGCTTATAAAAGAATACATGAGCCCTGGCTGGTATGGCTCAGTGGTTGAGCATCATCCCATGTACCAAGAGGTCACCAGTTCCATTCCCGGTCAGGGCACATGCCCAGGTTGTGGGCCAAATCCCCAGTGGGGGGCAGTCAGGAGGCAGCCAATTGATGTTCTCTCTCATTGATGTTTCTATCTCTCTATCCCTCTCCATTACTCTCTCTCTCTAAAAATCAATAAAAAAAAAAAAATCTTTTTAAATACATGAAAATTATGAAGTATGATAACAAAAGAAGCACTCTGTCACCCACCATACAACTTATAAGCTAAAACATTTCCAAAATCATAGAAGCTTCCTGTATGCTCCTAATCCCATCTCTTTAACTCTTGGGAAAAGCCCAAGGAAGAAAACACTACTCTGATGAATTTTTCTTAAGCAAATAAATGCTTTAAACAATTTTTTTTTTTTGGTATAACACAGAATCTCTCTCTACTCAATACATTTTGGATTTGCTTGCTTTTGAGCATTACAAAAAGGGTACCACATCCAATTCAATATCACAGTTTCAAGATGCATGTTCTATGTATCTGTAATTCACTGATTTGTATTGATGTATTCATTCTCCTGTCAATTGACATTGGATTGTTTTCCAGTTTTTATCATTACACTGGTGTTACAATGATTTACATATCTACCAACCAACACATGCCAATTTCTGTAGATGATACAGAAGTACGTATGCTGAGTGAGATGCACGATCCAGCTGTATACTTGTCCAGTTTTAAAAAACAATGCAGGTTGTTTTCTGAAGTGGTAGTATCAGCAGACATGCCATCACCCATATAACAGGGTTTCCCTTGCTCCACATCCACATCAGCTGGTGCTGTCTGACCATACAACACTTTCCAATGGCTGTGAAGTGGTATCACACTGCATTTTGAGTTCTCTGATTAATTACAGGACTGAGCATCTTTCTGTGAAATGCTGATCCATCTTTTAATGATTTTCCTATTGAGTAATAGCTCTTTACATAATCTGATCCTTTGTTGGTTAAATGAGTGCTGCAGACGTTTTGTCCTTTCACTCTGTTAATAGAGTCTTGTGATGAGTTCAAATTTCCTAAACTTATACTGCAGTCATAATTACAAATCTATTTTTTTAATCCTCACCTGAGGCTATTTTTCCATTGATGTTTTAGAGAAAGTGCAAGGGGGGGGGACGGAGAGAGAGAGAGAGCGAGAGAGAGAGAGAGAGAGAGAGAGAGAGAGCGCGAGCATTGATGTGAGAAAGAAACATCGACTGGCTGCCTGTAAGACCCCAACCGGGCCAGGGACTGAACCTGCAACTCAGGGAGATGCCCTTGACTGCAACTGAACCCTTGATCCTTCAATCCAAGGCCTGACATTCTAAGCACTAAGCCAAACTGGCCAGGGCTTTACCAATCTATTTTTATAGATAGTTCATCTTCCTATAACTTCCCTATCCCGAAGTCATAAATACTCTCACAATAGCTAAACTTCTGTCCTTTACATTTAAACTTTTAATCTACAAGGAATTGATTTTTAATAACATGGAACTGGGGTCCATACTTACTTTTTATATGAACCACCACATGTTACAACATAATTCATTAATTGCTCCGTATTTTGTGCACAGATCTGCTGTTTCCTCTGTCACGTATCACATTTCCATATATGTATAGTTTCTTTCTGACCTATTTGATTCCTTTGGCCAATCTGTCACTCTGCACTAATGTCACACTATTTTAATTATAGCTTAATAATTAAACTTATCCATCTGACAAAAAAGTCCCCTTCAACCTTCTCTAGAGTGTCTTGGTTATTCCCAGATCTTTTCTTCTTTCACATACATTTTGGAACTATCTCATCATCTTCCAAAAGCCCCAGTTGGGATTTGTTTGGAATTGCATTCAATCTAAGACCAATTTAGAATAACTGACATTCATAATGTCTTTCCATTTAGTTAATTGTCAATGCTTTCTAATATATATTTTTTAATGTTTTTCTATAAAGATCTTTACCATTTTTGGTGAGATTTATTCCTAAGTACCTTATTTTTTCTGCTGTAACTACAAGGTCATGAAAATTTTTTTCTCTTCTGCTTTCAGTTTTGACAAAGGCTCTATTAAAAACAGACGAAAGGAATCAGAGAACCACGAAGACAGCAGGGATTTCTCCTCTTGCAGAGAAGCCAAGTGCCCCAGGTGAGCCCCACATTTCCCTCTGCACTCCCTCTGGGGAATGTGCTGATGCACGGTGTGGGGGAAGAGGCTGAGCCGAAGCAAAGGCTTGGAGCTTGTCTCACTGAGGGTCAAGCTGGGGACTGCCAGAGCAGCCGAGGCCGCAGGTCCACGATCCTGGAAAGGGAGAGCCTGCAGAAAAGTAAACCTGAAACCGCAATTTCCCCTGGAGACACCTGCTGATTCCTAAGCAGTGCCTATCTGGGTTCTATGACAGGAAACCAAACAAAAAGTAGCACTCCGTCCAAACAGCGAAGAAAGTATTTTGACAGCCTCGTGATGCTGAGGAAATGAAGGTTAAACTTAAGAACCCACTAAGGTAAAAAGGCCTGGTGAATACGCCAGACATTCAACTGATATCCTCGAAGGGCACAGACTAAACGTTAGGAATACAAGCAAACCAGAAATAAACTAGCCCATGAAAACCTGAGACCCAGCAAGTAAGTGATCAGTGATCCACCTGCCAGAAGAAACTTGAAAGCCAACAGAAATAGACCCACAAACTTCCACTTAGGAGATAATCTCTCCAGCACTAATATATATATGAGAACACGCCAGATAATCTGTAAAATGATGTTTTTATGATTCAACCAGAGAGCTGAGAGTGTAAAGAAATCCAAAGGCACTAAAATCCAGAAAATGAAGTTCCCTTCTACAAAAAGAGAAACCAGTGATCATTTTCACCCTCAGCAGAGCACTGCGGGAGGACACTGCCACTGACAGGGTAAGGAGAACTGGCTGCACTTTGTATCGACTCGAAAGGCCAAGTGAAGACTGGCCCAAGTTCAGATCCCCAGGAGTCCCAGCCACAAAGGATGTCTGCGTTCACTCACCAACCTGTCCCCATGTAAAAAATTAGGGCAGGGCAGGAGGGCTGGAAGAGACCCCTAAAAAACAGATGCACAAAAGCTGGTGAAGACTTGCAGTAAGGGAGACCTGACAGTAACCCCCGTGAGGCACTCCAGGCCCTTGCGGAGAAGGCAACCACACTCCACAGCTGAGGGAGCACTGCCGAGAGTCCCTCACACCTGAGTCCCCCACTGTGAGGAGTAGCTGTGCAAGAACTGCTGCGCAGAGCAGGTAAATTACAGAAACCCTCTGGGCCCTGCTGGCTCCTCACTGAGTCCCAAGCAGAGGCTGGAGAGCTCCGAGCCCCCCACGCCCATTCCCAGGCACGGGCGTGCACGCAGGCCGAAAGCTGCAGGCAGGGCAGAGACAGCTTTCTCTCCGTGCCAGCAGAGCTGCCCCCTTTGTGCTCCAGCATTGCTTCGTTCGCATATTATGGTCAGCTGTGTCCAGACAACTCTACCGTTTTGCCATTTATATGCATTCCTGGAAAACCACACATTCTTTAAAACTGAGTACTGAAAATACAGGACCAAATTTTTAAAATGTGATATATATATTATAACAGAATATTATTCATCCTTATAAAAGGAGGACATCTTGCAATATTCAAGAACATGGATGAACCTGAATGACTAAGTGAAATAAGCCAGTCACAGGACAGATATGGCAATGATCCCATATGAAATATCTAAAACAGTCAAATTCATGAAAACAAAGAATAGAACTGTGGTTGTCAGGGGCTGGAGAAGGGAAAACAAAGAGCTACTATTTGATGATTATAAATGTTCAATTATGCAAAATGAGTAAGTTCAAGAAATCTGCTCTACAACATTGTGCCTATAATTACCAATATTGTATTTTACACTTCAAAATCTATCAAGAGGATAGATTTCATTCATGTTACATGTTCTTACCACACAAAAAAGGGAAGGAAACAAACAAAGAAAATATCAGGACTTAGGGAAAAAGGAATGGAGCAGACCATTCAAAACATACACAACTTCATAACCACAGCACTAATAAAAATAATTAAATCCTAATAAAAATATTAGCATAGCTTAAAAACTGAACAACAAAGACTTCACTGTTAAAAAGTGACTGTCGGACTTCCAGGCAAGATGGCAGTGTAGGTAAACGCGGTATCGCATCCTCCCACAACCACATCAAAGTTACAACTAAACTACAGAACAACCATCATTCAAAACCGCCTGAAACCAAGCTGAATGGAAGTCCTACAACTACGGAATTAAAGCAGCAGCCACATCCAGACTGGTAGGAGGCGCGGAGGTGAGAGGGCCGGTGGGAGACGGGCTGGTCCCACACCCACATGTGGCGGATAAAAATCAAGAGGACACCTTGGCTGGGAAGGTCCTCCCTGAGGACTGAGGGGTCCCTGTCCCACACCAGGTGCCCCGCTCAGGGTTCCAGTGCCAGGAAGAGAAGCCCCCATAACTTCTGGCTGGAAAAACCAGCGGGAACTGAGACTCAGGGAAGCTGAAGCAGCTGGAGCCCCAGGCAGTTCCTTAAAGGGCCCGCGCACAGACTTATCGAACTCTCTCCCTCTAAGCTTGGAGGGGAGGCAGCTCGAGGGGCGCCAGAGACACACAGGGAAGAACTGAGCTGTTTGGCACTGGAGCGAGGGCTGGAGAGGGGGCTCTCCCAGGGACAGACGTGCTGTCAGAGGCCTTAGTTCCTTTGGTGAGCCCTTCCCTGGCGCAGCAGACAGTCTCCATACCTGGGACTCCAGCAACCTGGCTCACACTGGTAGCCCCGCCCTGCTGACTCCCTGAGGCCCCGCCCCACCCCACCCAACTTTCAGGCCCACCCCACCCAACTTTCAGGCCCACCCAGCTGTTGCCAGTTGCTTAACCAAAGGATTGGCCTGTCTTGGATCCTGCTTCAGGTTTTCCTAAATTCTTTCAAACAAGCAGCATCTGGTCTCAGCGAGCCCCATACCTCTCGTTAAGTAATACACAGAAACAAACACAGGGAGGCAGCCAAAATGAGGAGACAATAAACAGGTCCCAAATGAAAGAACAAAACAAAACCACAAGAAAAGCACTAAGCAAAATGGAGTTAAGCAACCTAACAGAAGCTGAGTTCAAAATACTACTTATAAGGATGCTCAATGAACTTAGTGAGAACCTCAGTGAACTTAGTGAGGGCCTCAAGAGCATAAAAAAAGGACCAGTCAGAAATTATGAATGCAGTCAGAAATGAAGGAGGCGTTAACTGAAATAAAGAGTAATTTACACAGATTCAACAGTAGAGTAGGTAAAGCCAAGAAGCAAACCATCGATTTGGAATATAAGGAAGCAAAAAACGCCCAATCAGAACAGCAAAAAGAAAAAAGAATCCAAGAAAATGAGGATAGTGTAAGGAGCCTCTGGGACAACTTCAAGCGTGCCAACATTCGCATCTTGGGGGTGCCTGAAGGAGAAGAGCGAGAACAAGAAATTGAAAACCTGTTTGAAACAATAATGGCAGAAAACTTTCCTAACTTGGTGAAGGAAACAGACATACAAGTCCAGGAAGCACAGAGAGTCCCAAACAAGATGAACCCCAAGAAGCCCACACCAAGACACAGCATCATCAAAATGCAAAAGGTTCAAGACAAAGAGAGAATCTTAAAAGCAGCAAGAGAAAAGCAGTTACCTACAAGGGAGTTCCCATAAGGCTGTCAGCTGATTTCTCAAAAGAAACTTTGCAGGCCAGAAGGGAGTGGCAAGAAATATTCGGAGTGATGAAAAGCAAGAACCTACAACCAAAATTACTCTATCCTGCAAAGCTGTCATTTAGACTCGATGGCCATATAAAAAGTTTCCCAGACAAGAAAAAGTTAAAGGAGTTCATCACCACCAAACCGTTATTATATGAAATGATGAAGGGTCTTTTTGAAAAAAAAGATAAAATGTATGAACAAACAAAATGGCAATGAATACATATCTACTGACAATGGAATCTACAAACAAAATGAACAGGCAGAACAGAAACATTCTCATAGATACAGAGAACATTTTGTTGGTTGCCAGTTGGGAGGGGGTTGGGGGAATGGGTGAAAAAGGTGAAGGGTGTAAGTACAAATTCATTGCTAGACTGACAAACCTCAAAGGGAAAGGGGTTGGGGGGGTGGGAAGAAATAAACCAAAGAACTTATATGCATAACCAATGGACACAGACAATAGTGTGGGAAAAGGCGGGAGGGGGGCGGAAGTGGGGAGGATGGGGTCAAGGAGGGGAAAATGAGAAACATATGTAATACATTCAACAATAAAGTTTAAAAAAAGAAGTGACTGTCACTTGATAAAAGGGGAAAGAAGATGGAGGGAAGGCCTGAGGTGTCAAATTAGGGAATAATCAGAAAATTAGTCCTTCCTAACGCAGCATAGAGTCAAACCAGGTTACGAGAAAGAGAGGACCCTGACGGGCTGTTTGCTGCCTTCAGCAGTGTTCATGGACTTTGTGTTGGCTGCTGTGACGTGAACCAACACAATTTGCTCATTATATTTTCATCACTGCCTTATTTACCAATCATAAATGAATGACTCACATTCAGGAAACATACATCATTGCAGGACACATTATCCATAAACCAATTTAACTATAATGCCTTTGTGGGCAGACCATTCATTTTTGTATCCTTAGTATCTGGTACATATACTAGACACATTGTGAATGTTCAAATGATTATTTTTCTTTCAAAATGTATGTTAATATTTAAAAATATATTTTCAAAACATTTTTCACATTATATAGGAACATGTACCAACAAAAACTGCACATATTCTCCAACATTCTTGCTCATGATAACCCAAATCTGAGCTAGAATACCAAGTAACTATAAGTCAGAAAAAAAAACCATAAAAGACTATAATAATGGAAAATAGCTTTCAAAATATATTGAGATGATAGGTAAAAGGAACTAGCATTCTAGAACACATTCTAACAATGTTCAAAATTCAGTGGATAAGAAGACAAGAATAGATCTATGCAAATTTTTTTTTTAATTAAGTATTATATTCCAATGCATTCTATTTGAAAAAATTGAGAATTCCTTTTGAAAATATTTTCTCTACTACATTATTCCACATAGCGTACATAACAGGTGATCTGTAAATACTGTATGTCAGAATCCCATTTGAGCTTACCAAAATCTGTCATTTTGATGATAAAAAAAAATACACAATGCAGCCTACCTGCTAGACTGCCCTGCCAAGTTATCTAATAATTACCCTGGGTAAATATGCCTTTCCTTGGCTGATATTCAGTACCTCAAGATCAACAGAACTCATTAAGTTTTCTATGGTTTGATGGACACCACAGCCTAGGCACAAGTAGTAACCACCAACATTACTTACTGTTCCAGTTTCAACCTAGTAAAAAAGCCAGTGATGATTCAGATAGAACGAGTAATTTCTCAATTACTACCTGAAATCATCCAATGTTTCCTGTATCATGTTCTGAATAAAACGGATTTGAACGGACGTCAATGGTGCATTTGGCCTATGATTTCCAACAGTATCAGCTATTTTTTCGGATAGTGAACTGGCAACTCCAGCAGTTACAGAGGATGCTAATTTTGGACCTAAAATAAAAAAAGAAAATATTAAGAGTCAACTTGAACTAAGAGACATCAAACATTTCTAAATAAGAGTTGACATGAGAAAACTTGAAAAACCCATAAAGAACAGTGTTCCTGTGACATTTAGAAAAAATTTGCTGTTTGAAATACAAATCTTAAAAACCTTCTATAACATTATTTCTAACAGTCTTTTAATACACACACACACACACACACACACACACACAAAATTGCCAAATGACTACTATAGTAACACATGACAGAGGAATTGATCTTGAAGACTCTCTGACCCATTTCTTCTTATAAAAGATGAATGTGACAAGGTGCAGCACAAACTAGATAAAATAAGACTATTAAAAACAAACGGGGGTATAAGAGTAAAGCAGTGCTGTAGGCAAAGCCCTAGAGTTCAAGCTAATGTAGTTTATCCATAGAAACCTTAAGGTAAAATACAGATACATATCTATACAAGTCTTCTACACAAAGAGTTGTGTACGGATAACTCTTATAGCTGAACCTAATATCCCTTTAAATGTGATCAAGTTTTTAGGGTCTGTGATATAAACTCTATGAATAGGACTTTAATATGAGGGTGGAAAAAGACACCAATATAAATAAAATAATATGAATGTCTTGTGTAATTGACAAGTAAAAAAACATAACATTAAAAAAATACAGTGGGGAGGAAGAGCTTTGTAAATAAATCTTCATTTTAATCTTAAAAAAAGACTATTGCCCTGGCCGGTTTGGCTCAGCGGTTAGAGCGTCGGCCTGCGGTCCTGAGAGACCCGGGTTCGGTTCCCGCTAAGGGCGCGTACCTCGGTTGCAGTTTGTCCCCGGCCCTGGTCGGTTGTGCGGGTGGCAGCCACTCAATGTGTCCCTTTCACATCGATGTCTCTCTCTCTCTCTCTCTGTTCCTCTCTCTCCCTCCCACTCTACCTGAGCAAAAAAAAAAAAGACTATTTGAGCCCTGGCTGGTTTGGCTCAGCAGTTGGGCCATTGGCCCGCAGACCAGAGAGTCCCGGATTTGGTTCCCGCTAAGGGCACATACCTCAGTTGCAGTTTGTCCCTGGCCCCGGTTGGGGTCATGCAGGTGGCACATTGATGTTTCTCTCTCTCTCTCCCATTCTATCTAAAGATAAATGCAAAAATGTCCTTGGGTGAGGATAAAAAAATTTTTTCAAAAGACAATTTTAGGTAGTTAATGACCCATTTTCAAAGGGTTCTACACTATATTCCCATCTGTATCATATTAGTTGATCAAGACCCAGACTAGATTGAAAATGAAACTCACACTAAGAGTGCCAAATAAATGTGGCTATATTTAACCCTTCATATCCATTTCATTGTCTTCTAGTAAAAGAGTCACACTAGAGAAATGTCATAAATTTTCAACTCCTTGAATATTTAAAATTTTTAGTCTGTGATAACTCCATTTATTTATCCTTGCAAGTTAAATAGTGGGAGTTTTCAACTTAATACTTTCAAGCTTCAGGGAGTTTTATGTACTTACTTGGAGTTGAGGATCCATTGACTGTGGGTTCATATAGTAACTGGGTTTCATTTTCTTTTTCTGGTTTCTCAAATTTCTCAGGACTTCTTGTTTGGTTAGATGATGGAGAGGTATTTAGATTTCCAGTTTCAGCACCGGAGATCAACTTTGCAAACTGCACATTTAAAATAAACAATTAATATATAAATTCTGGTTTTACCCATATCATCCACATAATTTGTACCAAATTTCTCTTTTTATCCAGTAGGTAGAGTCAGGTGAAGAACATAAAGAGATACAGAAAGAGAAAAAAAATTGCTAGGACTAGTGGCAAAATAAATCAGGGTTACTAATAAAAAACAATCTCAATGATAACATGATAAAGAAAATTACATTTACTAATAAGCATCTGGCTGTTGAGAATCATCTAAAATACCTATCATAGGCACACAAAAAAAAGATACTTTTGTACTTCTTGAATGGTATCTTTTCAATATCATCCCAAAATTAAATATGAAAATAGATACACTGCACAACAGACTCAGCCTCCCTGGTGCTATCTGATCACTTTAAACCCTTACATAATAAATTAACTTCTATATTGAACACTGTATTATAGCACCATCAATTTGCTCTAAGACTTAGGTAAATGACTTGACCACCAACTTGGTGCTTTCTCCGACAATAGAAATACATTCTAAAAAATTCAGGCATAAAATATTCGTACAGTTAGATCAAGTTTCTTGTCTAACTTAAAAAAAAAAAAAAGTGTAAGTTAACACCTGCTGTTGCCTTCCTCGTATCCAGAGACAGATTTCAAAAGTTTCCTTTAGTTTTTAACATGTGACATTAAGATTGAAGAGCATTTTTCTACCTACTAAGTGCACAGCACTGTCAATAGTTAGGACAAATGCAGTGGTGACCAACCCCATCATGCTTGCTGGGGATAAACACACTCAGTGAGTTCAGTATTATTTTTAGGCAGGTACCTGTTTGAGGGAATCTTTAGGTTCCTGTTTCCCCAGATACGTTTTCTTAGGGTCAGCCGTCGGATCATGCTGTTCGTTTTCTTCTTTTCCTGGAGAGCCCAGAAGGACATGAAAAGGACTAGAATGCAATACTGAAGCTCCTGAAGCTCCTGGGCCTTTTCTTGGAGGAAACACTGAGTTCAGTTGTGTTAAGAAGTCAAGGCCTGAAAAAGAAGAGGAAAAACACTACATTCGCATATGTAATCTTGGATACTTAATGAAAGCACTTAACATGACAGACAGACCAATGTGGTAGAAAGACATGGGATGTGGATTCAGAAGTCAGGTTCATTTGCCAGCTCTAGTCCTTATTTGATGTATATTCTTGGGCACAAGTTGTAAAACTCTGTGACTGCTTCCTGATCTGTAAATGTAAACAATGATATCCATTTCCCTGAGTGGTGAGGCTTAAAAGAGATAGTGTATGTGAAAATACTTTGAAAACTGCAAAACACAATGAACATTTTAGTATTACTTTATGGTAACTGCAAACTGGTCATCTGGTTTACACCTGTGATACATATCTTGGCAGGTAGCCTCTAAGAAGGCTCCTAATGGTCCCTGACTTCTGGCACAGATCCATGCCCTCGTGTAATCCCCTCCTTTTGAAGGTGGGTCGGACCTAGTAATTTGCGTCTAACAAAGAGAATATATCAAAGAGGATGTAACTTCCAAGATTACATGACGAACACACGATGGCTTCCATCTCGAGTGCCCGCTCTCCCTCTCTTGCTCTAAAGGAAGCCAGCTGGCCTGTTGTCAGCCTCCTTGCGGAGAAGCCCACAGGGGAAGGAACCGGTTGATGTCTTGGCCAACAGACACATGAATGAACTTGGAAGCAGGTCTTTGCCCAGTTAAGCCTGGGGATGACTGCAGCCCTGTTGACACTGCCAAACGCACTCAGCTAAGCCATGCTCAGATACTTTAACCCACACTTGTGAGATGATGAATGTTCTTTTAAAATTCAGAATGTTTGGGGTAATTTGTTACACAGCAATAGATAACACAATATTACTTACAATTTTCATTAATAAAAATACTTCTCAGTAGTCCTTACCATCTCCTTTGCCTACAGACTCATCACCTCCCTTGTTAACCATGACATCTATAAGAAAATTAGAAAATCAGATTTAAAAAGATGCCAAAATGCCATAGCAATTTAGACTTCCTACTCATTCCCCAAAGAGTTCAAAGACTACTACTTTTAAAAAGAAAAACCTGAGTAAAGTTAAAACTAGTACTCACATAAACTATCCTTTTCATTCTTTTAGCTTCATGCATAGCAGCAAATATAAAAAATAATTCTAAGACATAGTTATTTTAATAAGACAGCAAAGAAGCTGTCTTATTAGAAAAAGCACTGAAGTGAGGTCCAAAGATCTGTAATTCAGTTCTGCCTATACCATTTAATAGCTTTGTGACCTTGGACAAACCTTTAACACAATTAAGCTTCAGTTTCTGCATCTATTTAAGGGGGAAAATGCCCTAACCATCTCACAAGATTGTTTTGAAAATCAAATGAAATAATGTAAAATATTTTGCAATACAATGCTATAAAAAATACAAGGTTTTATTACTATTTACTTCAATGGCAGAAATTTCAATACTGTAATATTATTAATTTACCAATTAACAACCAAATGTTGCTTAACTCCATTTTAACAGATTAATAGAAAAATGGTCAAATTCACCAGAAACTCAAAGGGACAATAAATTGATTATCTTATTAGTAGGACTATCATCCATCTATCCTATCCATCCATCCTCTACCTGCAAGTAATTGCACAACATACATACACTTTTAGAAGTATTCATTTTCCCCTAACAAAAACAGAAGTATTTAAAAGATGAAGAAAGTGAGCCCAACATATTAAGCCTTTGACCAGTAGAGTTGCATCCTTGTAAATCTCTTGATAATGAAATCAGCACTATATTTAGTTATCCATGTTTTCTTCTCAGCAACATAAAACTCTAATAAACAAAAGGCAAATGGCTCATATACTAATCATATTATTTTTAAGTAGAAATTAAAAGAGGAATTTCTACCCTTTATTTATTTCTCTGAAAAACCATTAAAGAGAATTTTATTTATAACTCAAAACCCTCTAAAAAGCCCCTTCCTACATTCTTCAATTCAATAGTTAACTCCAGGGGTTCTCATAAGCCAAGGTGCCCAACTGGGCACTTACTTAAGAAACCTTTCTCAACTCCAGCCCGAGCCGCTTTCCCTCCTTCTCCCACTCCTTCCTCTCTTTACTCTAACTGTGCAGTCTGACCTCTCTCTTTGTCCTGAAAGAAAGGAATCCTTCCCTCTTTCATTAGGTAAAATATAAATGAGTCTGACCTGGCAACTAAAGTCTTTTCAAGCTGGGTTAAGGCAAAACACACTCAATAATTCTATATAATCACATAGACATTTAGTCCTTCTGATTATGAAACTAATTGCAGAAAATTTGGAAAACAGACCACTTTGAAGTTAAATTTTTATAAGAGCACAAGCACAAGTAACAATTTAAACATCCTGCTATTGTTGACATTTAAATTCATTCCAGTTTTTCACTATTATAGATAAACAGTAAACATACAAATCTTGGTGGGCTTTTCTGAATATTTGCTTAAGTAAACTTACAGAAATGAAATTAACAGGCCAAAAAGTATGAATATTTAAGCCTACTAAATTATCCTTTAGCAAATTTCCCACATTGTTGGTAATACTGCCATTAGCAGTGAAACTCTCCCATTAAGGTTAACAGAATGATCATTAGTACCAAAAAACACAGCCAAACAATGAGCCTAGTTCATATAGTGTGAACAACAAGAAATATTTTCATTCATTAAGCTAGCAAAGTATTTTCCTTTTTGTTCTTTTTTCTTTTCAATGGCAACATCTACTAGCAATTGTGTTACCGGATAAATGCAGTTCTCAGACGCTAGTGGGTGTGGGGCTCTCGTGGGATCTTGAGAAAATGAATTTTCTAAGACTTGCAGGGGAGAATGAAATGTGGTAAAGAGCCCTGGCCGGTTAGAGCGTCGGCCTGCGGTCCGGAGAGACCCGGGTTCAGTTCCCGCTAAGGGCATGTACCTCGGTTGCAGTTTGTCCCCGGCCCTGGTTGGTCGTGCGGGTGGCAGCCACTCGATGTGTCCCTTTCACGTCGATGTTTCTCTCTCTCTCTCTCCCTCCTGCTCTATCTGAACAAAGAATGGAAAAGTGTCCTCGGGTGAGGATAAAAAAAAAAAAAAAAAAAAAAATGTGGTAAAGAGCTTTATTTGTGTGGAGCTATATTCCTTGGGTTGTAAAGTCTGAGTTCCCTTAGTCCAGTCCTGGAAGAGGGGTAGCCGGGAATTCAACCGAGATGGAAGTAGGGTCAATGTCCAGAGTTTCCGTTCCATGGTGGAGCTGAGTCCTGTGCAATATCAGGCATCAGGCCAGATTCAGTCCATTTGTCCACTGTGTGGGTGCCACATGGCCGTGTGCCACATGGCCGTAAGCCACGTGGGCAAATGCAGGGGAGTGTGCACCCTGCAACAGGACAGCCAGGAGATCAAGAGGACCAAGAGCAGGAACTTCCCTTGCTCAGGAGTTTAAATATTTTGGTTTTGAGGCTTTGCAGTGGCCACACCTATTCTGGCCAATTATCTGCTTCCATGTGTAAATGACAGGTAAGCATCTTCCCACGTCACCCAGACCTTATTGGGCATGTGTCTAAACTGCCTTTGTCCAGTCCTTGCTCCCAACAGCCTGTGGGGAACAGACTTGGAGAGTGTTAAATTATAGCTTCCTGGCAAAGTAGTATAAATGGCATGCCTATATCATCTAGTCTCTTCCTTACTCCTTCCCTGTTAATAATAACCAGGTTATTAACGGTATCAATGGGAAGTGTGTGTGTGTGTGTGTATGATAGTTTCAAACATAGTGTAAAAAATGAGGCAATGGATCACTTAGCCATATTTCTCCATGAAAACATTTAATAAATACCAATTAAATATGAATAATCACATAAACACTTTTTTTTAAGTTAGAAAGGTATCTTTTATCTATCAATGTTCAAGATTTTACACAGATGTATTTAGAAGTAGATGCAAGTAATAGATCACCTATGGAGACAAAACTTCCTTTAAGAAACTTCTGTGGAAATTAAAATGCTAACTTGAGAGCTTTTGCAAATTTCCATGTGAAATATACCAGCATATATTTTGGAATGAGAATATTTAAAATATCACAGCAAAGGAAAGATACCACCCTAGAAACTGAGAAAATTAGCAAACTGTCCTGATAAGAGTTACACTGAAGCTATTACCACATATTTTAGCCAGAATAAAAGCGTAACGACTACCAGCAAGAGAACATGATCTGATCCAAACAGACTTACCATCTCTGATAGGTGAGAACATGTCACCTAAACTACTTGTTCTAGTATCATCAAAACTGGAGAAATCCTGATTTTTTCCACTGTCTGTTTCCTTAGATAAAGTATCTGTGTTGACACTTCGAGGCAAACCTTATAGGAATTAGATACAAAAATATGTGTTATTACATCTAAATAAATTTACCATCAGAAGCTGGGTTCTAAAAATATAAAACTGAAAACAACAAATGAACAAACAAAAAAAAGTCACAGACACAGAATGGTGGTTATCAGACAAAGGGGGGATAAAGTGGGGGATAGGGTAGTAAAGGGTAAAAGGGGGTCAAATATGTGGTGACAAAAAATTTGATTTGGGGTGGTAAACACACACAATACAATATACAGATGCTGTATCACAGAATTAAACATTTGAAGGAATTTATTAACCAATGTCACCCCAATACATTTAATTTAAAAAAGGAAAATATGATTTTGTAATTAAATAAATAATAGTTAATGTATTACCCATATTATTGGTAATATTACAACTATGAGTATTGGGGGTAAAAAGCAGAATTTAACAATAGCTCAGTTAACCATCATTTTCATAGAATAAAGGGTTCCCCAAAAATCAAGTAATTTATTTATGCATACACCACCACCTTATCACAGCCTTTTGGACTGAAATTTTTCTAAAATACAAATGTATATACTTTGCTTCTGTCTTAAAGTACTCTGAACACTACTTGGTTTTGTTACTGATTAACTCAGTCTTATGATTATCTACAAATGATAATCATGATAATCTACAAATGATAATCATAAAGAAAGCCTGTAAGATGTCTACAGCAAAATGCCTAAAAGATAGCAGGATTCAAGTTATGTTAGTTCTTTCCCCAGTTTGCAGTGAATAGATATTTTCCCCTCTTCTGTCTTATCTTTTCCTTCACTAACAGAGTTTAACTTTGCTCTTGGTATTTTTGACTTCAAATGACTTTACTAACCTTACAATAGTTTACTAAGAGGAAGGAAACCAGAATACCAAACTCAGAGAGAACAGTCAAGTTGATAACAATAAAGAGGCAGACAGCCGTTTGCATTCCTTAAATAGCTGTTTCCTACAGAAAATAAGCACTAGCAACAAATCTGCAGAGGTTGTTTACAATACCTAAATCAGGGCCCCTTTAGTAGAAGCAACATGAACTTTTTTTCAAACTTTGTATTTTACAAGAAGTTAAAATAGTAATAATAGTAATGACGATGATCATGATAATATTATTAATCACACCATAATTACTGACTGCCCACCATGTGCCAGGCACTTTTGATACATTTTCTCTGATTTTCACAATAACTCTAAAAGTAAAATATTATCTGTGGAAGAGAAACATAAGACTCAGAAGGGTTAAGAAAACTGCCCAAAGTCAGCCTGGTTAGAAGTGACAGACCCGAGACTTAAACCTAATATACTCTCAATGTTTCAGAGGAAAGAAAGTGTGCGCGCGCGCGCGTGTGTGTGTGTGTGTCTGAGAGAGAGAGAGAGAGAGACAGAGAGAGAGAGAGAGAGAGAGAAAGAGAGAGAGAGAGAGAGAGAATTAGGAAGCAAATGTGGCAAAATTTATAAAACAGTGAATCTGCTAGATAGTGGAGCTCAGGAGTTCTTTGTACTATGATTGAAACTTTTCTGTAAGTTAGCAATGATTTCAAAATAACAGTAATAAACAAAATTTCTAACCAGAAATGCAGAGAAAACATTCATTTTGCCAGAAACTTTGCCAATCAGCCAAGAGTTGTTACTCAGCTGACCCTGCAGACCTAAGCCTTTCACTTCCTAATAAATGCTCTCATCGTTAAACATGAGCCTCCTAATGAATAACGGGCTTCAGAAAATTAACAGCAAATAAGAAAAATCTTAATTTTGTTTATTTTTTAAAAATTAATGATAAAATAAATTTTGAAAACTATGGCAATTTTCATATAGTTAATTCAACCATTTTGGCAAACATTACTCAAAGTTATTTTAAAAAACACTTTGTTCTTTTAAGTAGACAGCAATAGCATTTACTTCCAGGAGTTCTTCAATAAGGACCTAATTATTTTTCTACCTAATGTGTAGTAATTTTTATGTAAGGATAATATAGCTATTCACACAAAATTTATAATAGTTAATATACTTATTACTTTAAAAAAAAAAAACAATTCCAAACTATGAACGCTAACAAATTAAAGTTTTGCTTATACTTGGAAATAGTAAACTCAGACTCAGAAGACACCAACAAATATTTCTATCCAAGTCAAGTACTTGTCCTAAAAATTAAAAAGACATGGATGGATAGATACATGCACTTCTAATGAGAGTATTCTGAAAACATAGTGGCGTATACACCATGTAGACTTTTAAAAATATCTGTTGCAAGTTGCTAGTTTAGCAGACTTCTTAAAATAAAAACCAGAAGGTTTTCTGGAATTTAGAAAATATGATCTTTATTGCAGTCAAATATATTCTACAGTAAGTACGGAGAAGCTTACCATCATATTATACTTCACAATGTCTAAATGAATTCCTCTTTAAGAAATGCTTATCAGAGTAGAAAAACATTATTTAAAATTGCAATATTTTCATTTAACAAACTACCAGTATGCTGCTTAATATACGACAGGTACTATTTAATACTTAAACATATTCATGTCACCTCTTGGCTTCCTTTCCATTCTAGAATATGAAATAAAAGGAGCCATTAATAGCTTTAAAAAAAAAACCTCAAGATCAAATCATGACATCATCAAAGATCCATTCTCTACTGATTAATCTGAAGACACAATGGAAAGTCATCCAGTCTAGTAGTATTAAGAATGAATAATTTCTGAGTTGCTATTATTCTTTTTTGTAAGATAATATTTTTTTACACTAGAAGTTCAACTGGACTAACAGAAGTACTTTTCATTAATTTAAAAAAATTTATAGCTGAAGTTAAAATGTTCACTTCTTCAATGATATCAACTAATAATTTTACCTAAATACTCAAGTGAATTTGAGTTCTAGGTTCTTGAGGAAAGTGTGATTATACATATTGGGGGGGGGGGGTCACTCCAAACACTGTGTATAAGCAACACTCACCGGCTCTGTCTGCAGCAGCAGCCGCGCCCTTCGCCGCGGGCTGGGGTGGACCGGCGGGCTGGGGTGGACCGGCGGGCCGGGGTGGACCGGCGGCCAGCGAAGCCTCTCGGACAACTCCGGAGCTCGGAGCCCCTCCACCGGCAGCGCAAGCCGGAGCGGTTCGCTTGTTCCCAGCTGATGGCTTACTTGAGTCTTTACTTAAACCTGACTGAAATGTAATGGAATATTTAAAAGCTCAGGTTTCTAATGTTCCCTACTGTTATTAATATTTTATATCTCCCTATTAAAAATATGTATATATTTTTCCTTATAAATTTTAAGTTTGCTGATGGATCTGAGAGTTTCCCTCTGAACCAAAAGCCTTTTAAAATATGAAAAGGAAATATGACAATTAATTGTGAAATTTAAAAAAATCGTTTTAAAACCAAGTATCAAATGACTTTGTATTAAAATTATTTTAAATGCTTTTTATATAAGAATGATTATGAACTGAAACTACACCGTGTTTGACAACATAAAATTTCCATAATCTGAACTAGATTTATTTAGTAAAATCAAAAATTCAGAAAGAAAATACCTCACCTTGGAAAGAGCAGTGGAATACTGAAATACTATACATCGCACAGATGTCTTGTGAGCGTTGATGGTTTTAACTGGTGATTTCAACATCCTTAAATCATACTGATATATTTTCCCACGGGAGGATCCAATAGCCAAAGTGGCTCCATCAGGCATGAAATCTACTGCAGTCAGAGGAGCATCAGCTACTAAAGTTTTCACTAGCCTATAGAAAAAAGAGCAAGTCTATGGACAGATATGAGTGTATACAGGTATATAAGCTTATGTGACATATAAATAACCATATATCAAAACCAAACATCTTAGAATTATGCAATAGCATGCACATTCCAAACATTTACTTAAAGCAGAAATTTAGAATTAGACATTTTTCGATGCAATGGCATATAAAGGAACTGCCGAACACTCCATCCTATTTTTCTATTCACTTCTAATAGCAAATACACTCTACATGTTCTAAAACAGTACCTATTTCTTTGAGTAATTATTACTTTGGCAATGAACGTGACTGAATTCCTGGGTGCTACTCCTCAAATAAAGAGCTCTAGCCTCGGAATCAAGGAGGCTCCCACTATCCCCTTTCCATTTATCGACCTGCTTAAGCCTCAAGAGGACTCTGACCTTTCATAGGGGAGCAGCTGTCGCTTTGTTCTTAGTTCTGCATCTCCTGACCCAAAAGCTAGCAGAACCCATGTGGCTTGATCCTCGGGAAGCTAAGACAGAAATATGCCTATCAATCTGCTGAAGCTGAACTCTTTGCTGGAATGTTTGGTATAAGAAAGAAATGGCCCTCTAACTCAGGTCTCTTAGTAAATTGGTTTTAAGAAATAAAAAAAAAAAAGAGGAAAAAAGAAAAAGAATGTGAAATAAGCAACAGTAAATTTTTACTAAGGGCTGACAGTAGGTCCTTCCCTAGTAGTAACATTACCATTTTCTTCTACAGGATCTTTAGCTATTGGTAGGTATCTTGAATACACCTATAAAATTCTTGCAGCTTTTTTTTAAAAGCTAACCAAGCACCCTTACAACTAAGGAGGACAAGAAGGCACATCAGACCCAGATACCTAGATGATGTGCCCTTTAGCTCTAGACCAGTGGTTCTCACTGGAGGTAGTTAGGATGTCGCAGCTGGGAAGTGCTACCAGCATCTAGTGTGCAGTGGCCAAGGACGCAGCTGAATATCCCACAGTGCCCAGGACGGACCTTCCCAACCAAGTATTATCCAGCCCCAAATGCTGACAGTTTAGACACCCTACTTTACGTAAAGAATTAATTTTAGTTGTATTTTTAAAAAGAATAATATGCATATATATTAAAATAAAGATAAGAAATCAGTAACAGGCTATCCTTCAATGTTCATGATCCAGAAGCACTCTAAGCCAGTCAGAGAAAGACAAGTACCATGGGATTTCACTGATATGTGGAATCTCATGAACAAAATAAACTAACAAAATAGAAACAGACGCAGAGATACAGAGAACAGACTGACAGCTGTCAGAGGAAAGTGGGGGTTGGGTGCTGGGTGAAAAAGGTGAAAGGGTTAAGCAAAAAAAAACAAAACAAAAAAAAACCTCACAGACACAGACAATAGTCTGGTGATAACGAGAGAAAGGGAGGTGGGGGAGCTGGAGAAGGTAAAGGGAGGATAAACGGTGACAGAAGCACTCTTGACTTGGGGTGATAAATGCACAATTCAATATATGGTTGATGTATTATATAATTTACACCTCAAACCTATATAATTTTATTAACCAATGCCACCCTAATAAATTCAATAAAAAATAGAAATAGAATAAAAAAACTGAAAAATAATACCAACACCTCTTCTATTTTTTCTGCACAGGAAGAAAAGGAAAGAAAAAAAGAAAATTTACCTTACCAGATACCAAGTACACAAATTTTAGAGCTCCTGAACATTAATCAGAGGTCTGTACAAATCAAAAACATATCTGCTAATGAGATAATTATTTGTCACTAAATTAAGAAATATCACACTTACTTCTTACTTGATGTGTCATACAGAATGGTTCTTTTATCCAAGCCTATGGTTACAAATAGCAATTCATTGACGGGAGAAAAACAGATGCCTGAAGCTGGAGCTTTATGCGTATTGTCAAAGTTATGGTACGGACTCTGACCATTCACATCCCAGAGAGTTACTATTCCGTTATCCGAAACACTGCCCAGCAGCGTTTTCTTAAATAAGGAGTACTTCAAGTGCCGAACAGGCTATAAAAATAAGAATACATTTTATGTAATTGCAAGCATTCATAAGAACATTTTATATAAACTATATACATAATAGCCAACCACAGACACAACACTCACACAGGATTTAGGACTTCTCTGGTTTAGAGAGTAACAGGTTTCAATCACACCACCATAAAATCATTTAGTGGACTATATAAGATGACCCTAAGACATACCAATATTCTAGTAACTGAATATTTGTCATGATTTTACTAATTTGGAATATAGCTACCTTAATCTTCTCTTTTTTCCAGAGGAAAAATACAATACATTGATTCATCAGGGTTAGAACATCCACCATAAATAAAAGGCCCACTCACACCCAGATCACAAATAAATACAAGAGAACACTAGCAGAGGACAAGAGATATCTGTGTTTCATACATATTTTAGGTAGTTGAATGTATTAGTGTGAACCTGAGCATCTGATGTGCCAGCAATTCAGCATGGTGAAGGGTAGTAAAAATGAACTAAACCACAAAGGAGGAATGGTCAATACTCTAGCATCAGCTTGAGGGTAATGTTAGACTTTAAACACCTGTCCCTGGGAGTAGTGGCGACATTTCATTCTCTTTCTAGTTTCTGATCTAGCTGGACCAGAATAAACAAAGATCCAATATAAATAAATAGGTCCTGAATTAAAACTGATCGAATTTTATCTACTTTTACTAAAATGTTGCTTTCAAGCTTCATTATATTCATTTATTCATTATATTCATATTTATTATGCTAAGCATTAGGTATTTTACAGTGAAGCTAATTTTTCCCTGTGAAGGAACACCAATAGAAGTATAGAAGTTAAGTACAACACAGAGTGGGAAACTGGTTGAAAGACACCTTCAAACAGTGAAGCCCGAGTCATGCAATGATCACGTTCTAGGAAGTGGTTATCAGCTTCACATTTGGTAAAATGTAAAACTGGCACAGAACAAAAGTCAAAACTGAGGGGTTTTTTGTTCCATCTCGTTAATCTTTCACACTCTAAAAGGATTTTTAAAAACCTGGCTTTTAGATATTAAAAACTCATATTCTACTTACTCCTAAAATGTTTCAAAATAATAAATATATTAGCCCTCAACAACAAAAAGTATTTAGGAATAACACAAAGCAAAATCTGTCTAAGGAGTCAAAAATGAATACTTGTTACCCAACACATAAGGTAAGATAGTTACTATGGCCATCTATTAAATTTGGCTCATTTTGATATGGCCAAAGTACAAAGAGAAAATGTTGGCATATATTCTCCATCTTTGTTGAGGAAAAGTATAACCATCTGTATAGGTAAATCTTTCCTCTAATCCACACTCAAGAAAAAGAAACTACATGGACCTTAACTATAGAAGACACAGAGCTCCTAGTGAATTATAATGTTTTTAGTCATATATCAACCTATCAAAACACAAGGCAAAACACTAATATTTTAAAGATTTCTGTAGCACTTTAAGAGTTCACATAGTCCTTCATAAAATTTAAATTCAAATTAATTGTACATGTAGAACTTAATAAAAGCACAAGGACACAACTACACCACAAAAAGGTCATAGACCTCATAGATTCTCAAAGTTCATCAAGTTCAACCTCTCAACCACAGCAGCAATTTCTTAAAGCATCCTTAACATATGATCATCCAGAATCTGAATATAGTCAGGAACAGAGACTATACTACTTTTATATAATAAAACTTTATAAAAATATTTAAAAACACATTTCTTAATTAAATCAAAATCTAAATTCCAATATATTATTTCAAACTCTGTGGACCTATATGGCAACCTAATAACAAAACAAAAAAAGGCTAAAGATAACCATAAATCTTCCTCTCAGACAAAACTGGGTTCAAGTGGAGGCTCAACCAAACTCCGTATGACTTGGGTAAACTACTTAAATGCCAAGCCTCAATGTTTTCATCTACAAAACAGAAAACACTCATTTGCCAGTCAACATTATTTTGAGGATTAAATAACATTTCTGCACAGATCCAGGTACATAGGGGAGAGAGGGAGAAAGAGACATGGATATGAGAGACACAAATTTGTTGCCTCCTGCACAACCCCAACAGGGGCCAGGGATCGAACTTGCAACCCAGGTACATGTCCTTCACCGGGAATCAAACCCTGGACTCTTCGAGCCACAGGTTGACGCTCTAACCCTCCAACCGCTGAGCCAAACCAGCCAGGGCCAATCATCTTTTACATATATTGTTTAAAAGACCCTCAAGCAACCATGCTGATTCCTTTAAATGTCTCCCCTTTATCTCTTTGATAAGATATTCATTCTGAACTTTCTAAATCCATTATATCATCATCTCTTTAGAATATCATTAATATCCAACGATCCTGGATAAACAAAGTATTAATCTACTTAAAATAAGAAGTATTAATTCATTTTAGTATCAGCAGCACATATTAAGCCCCTATCTTGTTCCATATTCAAGCTATTTCTAAGAAAAAAAATATTGCCAAGAAGCTTATGAAAATACCAGCATTATAAGCAGCAATGCTATTTTTTTCTTACCTTATGTAAGAATGTGTGTGCTTGTGGAGGAGGGAGACTATTTCTAAATATAAAAAACACATCACCCACTATGATCAGGAGTTGGCAAACTTTTTCTTAAAGGAATAGATAGTAAATATTTGCAGAAGCAGTTATAAACAATACATAAATAAATGAGCATGGCTGTGTTTCAATAAAACTTTATTTACAAAAATAAAGCCAGTCCACAGGTCATGGTTTATTTGAATAACACTTGCTATAAATATTTAAAAGAGTTAAAAAAAAAAAACATAAAATAATCATATATAATCCCACCATATATGTATATGTGAGTTCTGCTAATGAATCATCAAACCCAGTGTTGGGGATCCCCAGCAGAGTGAGAGTGAGTGTGAGTGTGAGTGTGTCTTTTACAGACAGATAGCAAATCAAACACCGAAACTAAAATCCTAAGAACAACATTTACAACAAAACTAGACAATCAGCTATCTCCACAAGACCCAAAATACATGCTAGTAGGTCAAAAATTAACAGCCAGCACAGTCCCTCACAGTATTGGTGCCTGGGCAGGAGGAAGTTGAGGAAACTAACAGGGAGTCTGAGACAGATCTGAGAATAGGAAAAGCCCAAACTAGCCAATAGGTATTTCCAGGAAAACGTAGTGGCCAGCTTGACAACATCAGCTGAAACCAGGAATACCCACAGCATTAGTGGATCTGTAGGAGAGGTCTGAAGGGCTAGAGCAGTTTAGCCCCAATGAACTCCCAAGACTGACCAGCCAAGGTGCCTCCCCCAGGTCAGGGCACTGCTAGGAGACACTACTAGAAGTCAAAGCAAACCTACATAGGATGCAGTCAACAGAGTTGAAGGAAAGCACAAATTTATATACAGGTAGGGGAGTGGAACAGAGCCAAGCAACCTCAGAAAACAAGTTGCCATTAAAAAAAAAAACAACTACCTGAAAATAAGAGGGAGCTCTGTAAAGTTAGAAAAGATACCCTGAATCCCATCTCTGTCTAGACGTTCAGAGATACTAACTTCATTGACAAATCCCATACAAAGTTATCATGAGACCAAAGACAAAGACAAGAAGAAATACCTTCTCAAAAGATGACCAAAAAAACAATAAAATGATACCAGACATTAAAAAACAACAGAGACCCTGGCCGGTTTGGCTCAGCAGTTAGAGTGTCGGCCTGCGGTCCAGAGAGACCCGGGTTCGGTTCCCACTAAGGGCATGTACTTCGGTTGCAGTTTGTCCCCAGCCCTGGTTGGGTCATGAGGGTGGCAGCCACTCGATGTGTCCCTTTCACATCGATGTTTTTCTCTCTCTCTCTCTTCCTCTCTCTCCCTCCCGCTCTATCTGAATAAAAAATGGAAAAATGTCCTCAGGTGAGGATAAAAATATTTTAAAAAATAAAAAACAACATAGGTTAGAATTGGAAAACTCAAGAAATGAGATGTCAGAACTTGGAAAAAGATTTAGAAATTTTTAAAAATCTTTTTAAAAATGAAGGCTAATTTAAAAAGAATATAAGAATGAACAAACGCAAGAGATAATCATCTTAAAGAAAGGTTTAAAAATAATTTTTAAAAACAAAAAAGGAAAAAGTTAAAAATTATTTCAGAGAAAGTAATAAATTATTATAGATAAGATCCAACAACAACAAAAACTAGAAAGGAAAAGAACAATAAAAACTGTAATTCGAAAAAACTTTGCTGAAAGAAGAAATGATTTGCACTACCTATTAAGTTAGCATACCATGTATCTATGAATGGCAAAACAGAATGACCAAGACCAAGTCCAATAAAATTACTGGACTTTAAAGAAGAAAAATCCTTTGGTCATCTAAGGAAAAAGAATAAGTAACTTATAAGAAAAAACAAAACTTAAATTATCATCAGGCAGTTGAGACCAAAAATGACAGCAACACACTTAAGCTCCTCAAGAAAAGGTGAGCCTGATGCTGAATCACACTGACAGTCTGTAATCTCAAAGAAAAAGTCCAAAGCAGAAGATATATGGTTATGGAAACAATATGTGGTTATCACGGATTACAATAATTCAGAAAACGCCTAAACACAGAAATGTTTAGATAAACTGTGGCATTTGAACAATGGAATATTATATAGCCATTAAAAATTATGGTTATAAAAACTAGTAATATGAGAATACCTGGGATAAAACACTAATGAGAATAAGGCAGAAAACAAGATTGGGCCAACAGCATGATTAAAACTGTAGGGAAGCCCTGGCCGGTTTGGCTCAGCGGTTGGAGCGTCGGCCTGCGGTCCGGAGAGACCCGGGTTCGGTTCCCGCTAAGGGCACGTACCTCGGTTGCAGTTTGTCCCCGGCCCTGGTTGGTCGTGCGGGTGGCAGCCACTCGATGTGTCCCTTCACATCGATGTTTCTCTCTCTCTCTCTCTTCCTCTTTCTCCCTCCCACTCTATCTGTACAAAAAATGGAAAAATATCCTCGGGTGAGG